GGAAGACCAAACAAAGTAGTTTCGCTTTCACAACGAAGCACACAGCGTCTTCACGACATGGCGGCAGCGGCAACAACAATACTACAGTGAGAATAAAAGTTACGCCTTCTTTCTTTGCGTGAACATTTGGGCGGCGTTATGCAAATCTTCCCACATTGTGATGTAGATATGTGGGGGCGTGTTAGAACGAGCCGTTTTAGGTAGGCGTGGCTGACTGAACTTTTATAAAGAATATCTGTTTGGATTTGAGTCTTTAGTCTTTGCAACTTTACAGATCTTCTTTATGCACCAAGAGCTTGTAACACTCCAAAGAGAAAGGAAATATTGAAATTGCATCATATGACCCCTTTAAATAAATGCATTACATTACCATCAGACTTCTTTCAAAAAAATAAATCTTACCAACATTTGAATGGTAGTCTTTCATTATTATATATTGACATGACTCAACTGTCTTCTTGTCTCCTTCTGTAAAGAGACTGATAGTAAACCAACAGCACTTGGAACATACCTGATCAGCCCTGTGACTGACTTTGCTAAAATGCTGTGTGGCTTTATGACCAGCCGCCCCATTGTCAGCCAGATGTACAACTTCCTGAGAGGCTTCAACCTGCACAACAGCTACAATAAGAACACGGGCTTCATCGCATGGAAAGGTCTAGAGCTCTATTTATGCCACTGACTATTTCAAGTGTGCACTGTGTTTATTATATTTACTCTTCATATGGACTATATCTTAGTGTTATTTCATGTGTGTAGATGTAATTTGGTGATGTCTGTCATTGCATGAAATATAATCAGGGCTTTTTACATCTAAATAGCTGATAGTGTTTGCAGTATTCCATAATATTCGTGCTCTGTCTATAGACACACACCCAGACGCCTTTCCTAACACCATGACTCCAGCTGATCCTGTGCTGAGTTTAGTAGATGCTGGATTTTCTGTAAATGCAGGATTCCCTCCTGTGGTTCGCTCTCACAGACATGTGGATGTTATTCTGTCTCTAAACTACTCTTGGGAACCAGATCAGTTTAAGGTGTGGGAGACCTGGAAGCTTGTTTAAGAACTGATTGAAATGCAAATATTAGATACTTAAGAAATTTTGAAAAAAATAAATAAAATAATAATAATAAAAAAATGTTTTTTTGCCTGTTTGTGCCCAATAGGTAATTAAGCAAACTCAGGAGTACTGCGCTGATCGCAAGATTCCATTTCCAAAGATCGATTTCAAAAAGGTGGAGTTGGAGCCGCTGAAGGAAGTTTATGTGTTTGAGGATAAAGAGAATCCAGAGGTTCCCATAGTGCTTCACTTTCCCTTGGTCAATGTCTCATTCAAGCAGTTCAAGTCTCCTGGTGAGTACAACCATCACTCTTTACATCCCATCTACCATATTCCTAATAGGAATTACAGTGCTTGTAAAGCAGGAATGTATTTATATTCCTGAAACATTCTGGTTAGAATGTTAATTTTATATTGTGTACAGTAAATAAACATAAATATAACATTTATATTGTATATAT